GGAGATAATAATAACATGCACAAAAACAAGACAGAGCAAAACCAAGCAACAAAAGAAAACAAAACAACAGCAACAAACCAATGACAGACTCCCAATACTAATGTAATACCTCGCTCACTCGACCTGCCTCTGCTCCTCTCAGTAGCTCCACTTGTACCCCATCTAAGAATCATTATATGTGAAAATAGCTTCTGTGGGGTGAAGATTCCGGAATCCCAATAAATAACAGGCATAGAGACTAACAATCCCCTTAAATGGGTCACCTCTTGTTCCAATCCCATTCCTTTTTTTCTCTGCATGTACATTTGCATCCATACATGCCAAGTAACTGGAGCTAGAAATCTAGGAATCATTTGTTACTCTTTCTTCCCATGGATTCTGTCGCCGTGAATATATTTTGAATCTGTTTCTTTGATGGTATTTTACTCTTTCTTCCTTAGAGTGGGAGGCTTGTTATTTCTCACTGGCCGCTCCGTGGGAGAAAGGTGATGTAATCTGCTCCTGTAAAGATGCCTCGCCCCAGAAAGCTTACCGTATCAGGGTCACCACGAGTTAGAATCACTCCAGGGCAGCGGTTCTGATTTGTTTTTTCTGTAGTAAAACGAGCACTGAGGATGATGATAGTATGCTACTACTGTTGGCCCATTTCTATAGGCTAAGGGCTGTGCTACTGGCTTTACCTATAGTAACTCTTTGAATCTTAATAACAGCTCTGTGAAATGAATATTTTTACCATTTACATGAAGTGAATATTTCTACCATTTTCCAGATGGAGACTCTAAGGCCCAAGATTATGTAGATACAAGTGGCTGAGAAGGGACTTGAAGTAGACTAGATTTGAACACCATTCTGTCTCTTATAGCGGAGCCTTCTGAATGCCAATCAGAAGCAATGTTAAGGTAAAAATCTTAGAATATTAGGACCATTGTCCTTTTATCAGTGTATTATTACAAGTAATTTTTCTATAGCCTTATCACTCTCAATGAAAGTGATAATAGAATTTATGTAGTACACATTTTAATGGTAAAGGTTAATTTACTTAATTTCTTTTTATTCCCTCAGGGGCAGTAATTTCTTCTGCTGGTTACAGTAGGAAGTGTATTTTTATTAAAAGATTCTTGTTTTGCCGTTTGTGTTATGTTGTTATATACTGTCTAGTCCAGTGGTTCTCAACCTGTGAGTTGCGACCCTTTTGGGGGGTCTCCTGATTCATAACAGGAGCAAAATGACAGTTATGAAGTAGCAACAAAAATCATGTTATGGTTGGGGGTCACCACACATGAGGGCCTGTATGAAAGGGTCAAGGCATGAGGAAGGTGGAGACCCACTGGGTTGGTCAATTCCCATTAGAGACGCTGTGAGCACTGGAGCAAACCACTGCCCAGCCCTCCGCCATCTAGCAGTCCTGTCAATCCATGTCACCGAGGGGGTTCTCCTGGTTTGCTGATCCCCCACTTTACCAAGCAGGATGCCCTTCTCCAGTGCCTGGTCCCTCCTGGTAACACACTCAAAGTACATGAGATGAAGTCTCTCCGTCTTCACTTCAAAGGAGCATTCCGACAGTATTTCTTCCAAAACAGAGTTGCTTGTTCCTGTAGCAGTCCCTGGTGTATATTCAATATTCTTCACTCACAGCTAGTTCATAGACATTCATTCTCCTTCAGACTTGTTTATTCATTGTTAGCCTTCACATGCATCTGGGGTATGGCTTGGGCTAGGCATACCTTTGTCTTCCAAGTGACATCTTTGCTTTTGAACGCTTGAAAGAGCTCTTCTGCAGCACATTTGCCCAATGCAATATGTCATTTGATTTTCCCTAGTTGGTTTTGTCAGACCTGATATTTCAGCAAAACCAGATGGTACCTGGGGGAGCACATCTTCTTTCCTGAGATAACTATTCCACTACTTATAGCTTCACCATGGACACTTCTATCCACTCCTCTTATTTCTCTACATAACTCAGATAACAACTTGAAGTTTAGGGGCCCTCTGGATAGAAATAAGGAAACATGTCTTTGAGGTATATTGAATTCTTCAGCTCTATAACTGAGAGGAGTTAGGAGCCTTGGTTGCTTAATTGGTAACCTGTTGGCCTGCTAATCATGAGGTCAATGGTTCGACACCACCAGCTGCTCTGCAGGAAAAAGACAAGGCATTCTATTCCCATAAAGAGAGCAGGAAAAAGACAAGGCTTTCTATTCCCATAAAGAGTTAACTGTCTAGGAAACCTACAGGAGCAGTTCTACCTGATCCTATTGGATCATGCCGAGTCATCATTGACTTGATGGCAGTGAGCTCCTTTGTTTTTTTAAAAAAATATATAACAGGGTTACTTTTCCTATTTGGGCCCTACATTTTCAGATCTGAAAACTGTGCTATACTTAGTTCTCCAGGGTAGAAATAGCATTGTTCAGTTATACCCACTGTGCACTGGGGTACATAAATAAAAAATCATCCCAATCCTCAAATTGCTTATAATCTGGTGGGAGAGCAAGCCTTGAGGATTCATCTGTGCAGAAAGCATAGATAAAGTAACAAATCTGTACGCTTTACAAAGGGACCGGAAAGCAAGTGTGGTCAAAAGTGATGGTGAGGGGAGAGAAGAAAGGGAGAATCTAAAAATATAAGTAGGTGCATGTCAT